CAGGCATTCCTTTCTTTGAAATTTTATTTACAATATGAAAAAACCACGTGCAATAAGAACTTGAATTTCATCGGAAGTACAGAGTCCCCGTCATTTATTACAAAGCAGAATCCCGTAGAGTTAATTGTGCTCCGAGTATCCGTGATGATGTATCGCTCTCACTATTATCGCCTTCCTCCGTTCCTCCACCTCATCTTCGTGGAATCGGTCTGCTCGTTCCGCCATCACCGTCCGTCCGCTGCATCACTCGCGACCCTGAAGAACAGGTACACACGGCGTGCGGATGTTAAAAGAGAAAGAACTTGTTCGGTTTCGTTGAGCGCTAGCCTCTCCCGTAATTACATTACAACGAAAGACGGAGACAGCCAGACGACCACGCTTGTATATGATATATCCATGCAAAATGACGTTTAAAAATATCGAGGGGTGCGACGAAGACGGGCATAGTGTGCGCACAGGGGGAAGCCCCTTTATGCCAAGCTTTTCCCCACCCTGTTTCTCTCTCTAAAACGCACGTACACAGAGATATTCCACATCGTGCATCTCTGCCTCTCCTTTCTGTCCCATCGGTAACGCACACCCACGCACTATCTTGTTTCTGTCAGACTTCCTAAGGTGTTATATATCTGAGACATAGAATATATGGGATATTCCTTGGTTAGTTGCCATCTTGCTTGTGTTTCGGTGTGAACACGCACCGAGTTTTTATCCTATGGATCACTGATGGGGTAGTTCGATAGCAATCTAATAGTAACGAAACGATTCAGGTTAAATACTCTGATCTAAGTTTCTACTGTAATTACTTCAACAGATATTCTATAATTCTATAGATAGGTGAAACCTTAAGAATACACACGTAGAGTACCATTATCAAATAAATTAGAGATACACTTGTCTATCGAATATAAAAAAGAAACAACAGAGAGAAACGTTAATATTTATTAACGTATGATGTATAATACCATTATATTACAAAATTACGTAGAAATGTTGCCTTAGAACAGCCGAAACGATGGAACTGTGTGTGTACACCTTTATACTTTATTTCATTTTTTCCTTTATTCGTTGTTTTTTTCGCGTCTCCCCACCATCACATCTTTCTCATCCCCTCCTTGAAACTTGTCCTCCCCCACTACAGAGCCGACTACGTCGGCCGCGAGTCGCTTTCTCCGTTTATCGTAGCGTAGCGGCCGATAGCTGATAGCGGTAGCTGGTACCTGGCGAACGACTGGAGAACGGCGACGTCAGTTTGTGCTTGGTCGTTCGTTGTACATACCTGTACGCGCCTCAGTTACCGCATCGGTCGTAGCATTTCCCCCTTTTCCCTTTTTCCCTCTTACCTCTTACCTCTTACCATCTTATCTTTTACTCTGCGTTCCCTAGTTTTCTTGAGTTCGACTTGAGTTCCTTCCGTCAGTTCCGCTCGTTCCGGCTGTTCGTTCTGCTGGTTCGTTTTCACAATTCGCTACTAGCGGGGGAAAAGAAGCAGCTAGTGTGTCGTGCCTTGTTCGTCAGTTGTTCAGCGTAATTGGTCCGATGTTTGGTTTGGGAAGCAGGAAGGTGCTCAAATATTCAGCCATCGACACGTCCCTTTCCATCGACGTCGAGGACACCGTCACGTGCTTTTGCAGGTTAGTTTTCGCTTCGAGCGCATGCGCAGTCTCGACCGGCTACGATCCACCAGATCCCTTTGAATATGCTAAATTCTTATGAGCTGTGATTTCGTCTGACATCACAATTTCATCTAAAGAGAGAGAGAGAGAGAGTATGACAGTATGATAGTATAAAAATAACCGACTAAGTCGATGGTCAGTTAACGCGGCAATAGTATATTCTGCAGGAAACGACTTTCTCTCCCACCGATCCTGACTGCAGATTTCCTTTCGGAAAACAGTCGAGTTCGAACAGGATTATAAGGCTGGATTCTATTGTTGTGCGATTTGGGTGGGCTAATAGTCTTTTGGAAAGTTTGTAGAATGGTAGGTGTGATTTAAGGTTAAGTGCAGGTGTTAGGAGTTAGACGAAGCTCTTTGTCGAAGTCTTTGGATAATTCGAGAGGTTAGGATCGTTACGTGTGACTCGACAATGTATACTGCTTTAAAGTTGCGTTTCGAGCGTAATGAGAGTAATTATGCGAATGGAAAGGAGCAGAGGACATTCTTCAATAGCTGTAACGAATGTTCGTGAATTTTATAGAATTCTCTATTGTCACGTGCTCGCTTTGTGCTTATTGTTGTCATGCAATATATTCAAACAGTAAGATATTGGAAGAGCCATTGAAATTTCAATGTACAATATTTAATTGATTGAAGCTGTATAAGCGATCTTTAAAGATGCTATTCTAACGAAAAATTCACACATAACATACATGTATAGTTCTCACATACGTAAATAAAAGATGTCTTCAAATCTACAAGACATTTTGTTAAATTTGATATGAAATGCAATTATTTTTTTCTGATACATTTTACGCATCTAGACGTACCTATAGCTCATTACTGCTAAAATCAATATTTGATGAGTTACTCAAACAATTCCAGTTGCGTGTACTAGCTTGCATATGGGTCTAGTTAAACACAAAACGCAAACAGGTTGTTCAGAAAAATTTGCGAGGGACATGCGTTAAACTTAATGGTTGAGTTTGAATATTTAAGAAACATACAAATATTTTCGGAGCTTCCTTTTTGACGAGATAACGAGAGAAATCTTATTATTACAAACATAATGATACAACTATTTCTACATTTTTGAGAATTTGAGAAAAAAAACATTGTAAAAAACTTTCGATATATCGAACAATCGATAAAAATTCAATAAAGTATATAGGCAAATTATTCTACTGTCTTGAAAAATCGATGAATCGATAAAAATTCAATAAAGTGTACAAGTAAATTATTCCACTTTCTCGAGAAATTTTTTTTTATCTTTGAACGCGAAAAATTGCAGATTTTATTCATGTAAGCGAAGCATTTGAAGTAAAATAATAAGATCTTTATTAATTAAATGCAGAAAAAAATGTTGTTTAAGATACTCTAGAATTTTTCGTTTCAAACGTTACAAAGAGTTATTGTTTCACTCCCTTCTTTCTTATTTTTTTCTTAATTGAAATTTCGAGGTTCTTTTCTCATTACAAGAGAAAGTTGAATTTAAATGAATGTTAAATAACATTGTCCTTATTGTATTTCATGATTCTTCACTTGAGGATGTTAGGTAACCTATTTAATGTAATAAGTATAAACATATTCTTTTTTTCTTACGTTCCCTTCAACTAATTACCGTAATGAAAATTTTTGTAATTTATACAATTTTTTCAATGAAAAGGAGACAATAAAAGGCAAATTTCCTCCGCAATAAACGCAGCATGATTACTCTTTTAAATCAAACTTACGTTTATTATCAAAGATTCAGTGAAATCAGCCTAATAGACGAAAGTTCAAGCTGCATTTATACAGCTTTCACGTACACAATGAACAAATGAAAATGGTGCGATTATCAAGCAATTTCATTTCAGCATTAGTATCTTGTTATCTTAACCAATAACTGTCGTGCATTATCTTGGATTCGTTCTTGCATTTGTTTGTTTAACTTTCGAGCTCGAGATAAGTGAAATCATCCAGAGAAAGAAGAATTAATAATTATCTATATATCAGGTAGAGATCAAAATAAAATGGAACATGAATTGTATCAGTTTCTCGATAAAATATGTTATTATAATAATATATTAAAATATGTTAAATCTACTGTATCAATGATATTCTACGGGTCATGTATGGCAACGTATGTAATAAATACTGGAAAATGAATTCACAAACTTTTCCATCTATTCTTGCTTGAGACATATTTCTTCCGATCTTGAACCATTCATTCTTTGTGTTAATTTGCACTTTTTTTTTTAAATGAAATATTATATTTTTTTTGTAGGATACAAATGTTAAGTACAGGTTCTGTGACATTTATTTTTCTAACACATAGCAATATTGTTTTCATATTGACATTCTTAATAACAAAATATGTTGTCAGAGTTGCAAAGAATATTCGTTTTCAAGTTCTTTGGCGAGCAGTACAATCTGTCTTCTAATTATTGCAACGATGGATTCGGTGTGACCATTTTTCCGAATGATAGTTCTGAGAAGATATGAAATTTAATAATCTCAATACGTGAAAATAGAATTTGTGCGAATATTATTACGCAGTTGGAATTTATTGCCAATAAAAGAATTTATGAATTCATCTTTTCATTCAACCCCTCAGGGACATCTGTGCTGTGTACCAACTCTACTAAATATATTGGAAATTATTATATACATGTGAGCATTTAGAGCTACAAAAATTATTATTATTATCAATGATACATTATTAATGTAACTTAAATTTATCGTCAACATTAGACGTTGTCCTTGAAGGATTAATGATAATTTTTTACCATTATGTCAGTTTGATACCAAGGAACAAATTAACTTGAAAAAATAAAGAATGTATGATGGTTGGATGTCATATAGAAAATAATGTGGTACAGTTAAAAAATTCAGAATAAAAAGTTGATTGGAATACTAAATAGAATAAAAAAAGGTATTGACGTGGAACTTTTAGTACAAGTAGCGTTGCGATTGGTGCAGTTTTTATTATCTGGATATAAAAGCAGTCCTTGTTTGAGCAATTCATCCTTACACCCGTATCTATGATCGATCAAAAGTGGTGAGCACAGCCATTGTCTAGAGGAGATAAAATTTTCTGATCGTTGGCGTTCGCATGGCGTCTCGAGGATTGTTTGAATGGCGCGATAACAAGCAAGCGAGAGATCGCTTTCGACGCGTCAGCCGAAGCTGAGACTATGTGCAAACAATCGGTGATGAAGGAATTAGTGGTCTTATCGGTACGCGATAATGAGGCTACGAGAAAAGAGCATTAAGATGTGTCACGATCGAGTTTAACGATAATTTTGTTAAAATGGTAATCTGCGCGATGCTAATTTCACGAGCATTGTTCTTCGGATTGCGTACGTCGAAGTGGCATTGAACAGCATGTATGCGTGTATTTTCAACGGTGTGCAAGGTTTGTAGTTTTGTTAACTGATTGAAGGAAAAATCCTCTGTGGGAAGTGAGATGATTCAGTCTGGATGATGATGTCGAAATTTTAGAAGAATTTCTACACAGACGTTGTAAAACAATGATACTTAAAGGAATCGCTGATTTATTTATCTAACGGTATGGTTTAAATCGTGATGGAACCGTGGTTTGGACACGGTATTTTCTAAAATAAAGTGAAATTCAGATTGAGGGGGATCGCGATGTAAATTACTCGAACTCTGCCCGCATCGCTTCATTTCAATCGAATTAAAAATAGTTCCGAACTGAGATGTATGTTTGATGCTGTTCAGTTTAATTCAGTTCGGTTGGCGAGCATTATTTTTGGACTCGTCTGTGAAACATTTAATTCGAGAAGCGGGTCGAAGTTTGCTGAAACACGACATGCTTCCTAAATCGTGAATGAGACGGTGTTGCAAAATGAAAGTTATTTACGGACAAGTGAATATAGCAACGCGAGCTATAATTTTCGTCCTATTTTATCACTTGACCTGAAGTATTTAGCGAGGATAAAGAACCACGGCTTTTGGTTCTGAAATTTCGAAGAATATGTAAGAATATGCGAAATCACAATCCCAAAATTTATTTACATTTATAAAAAATGTAGCAGGAATGATAAAAAAATAACAACGACACGTGTAATTGAATTTCACGACAAAATATGTAGCATATTTATGAAAAATGATGCATACTGTATACAGATATAATAATACATAGTATACAGAGTGTATCAAAATATGTAGGCACTGCGCAATAAAAAAAGAAGACAAATTCATATAAATCTATGCCTGATATGTTTGTTTCTGAAATACAATCATCTTTACAGAAATTATACATCTCCAGATGCAAGCTTCTAAGTATCCTATTATTGAAATTTTGATTCGTTCGAATTTGTTGGCGTCAATAATATGTTCATAACCAGCATTTATGAACAATTAAATGAAGGATTCAGTTTATCAAAATTATTGGAAGACCAATCAAGTTACATATTCTATTCTACCTTGTGTCATTTCAATTAATTGAAAAAATTAATACTCGTGAAATGATTCTATCTGTGTTTGTGTGAATTCGCGTCATTTTTAAAAGAATTGATGCTCCGACTATGTAAGTTTCGACATTTTAGTAAACTATATTAAATTACAGATTGGCTGTGCTTTAATTTACAATGTACATACGTAAGAATCGTAACCTTGAAATACCTGAATACCTTAGGTATGGTGTTTCTTTCACACGCCAATTCCGTTGAAGTCGATTTTAAGATCATTAAAATTCACGGCCAGTGACAGTCGTCCGATATTTCGAGTGAATCAAATCGTATCGAAGGTTAAGGGCATTTGGGAAATTGTAATTCAATCACGGTGAAGCAGCAATCAGCGTGAC